ATCGGGACCCCCGGCCGCTTGCAGCGCGGCGAGGAGGGCAGGGTGACCTCTTCCAGGGGGTTTTGGACCCAGAAGCGCCGGACCGGGCGCTCCGCCCACAGTGGCTGTCGGGTTGGCTGGGCACCTGCTGGGCACCTGATTCGCTTTCCGTCTGTTTGGTTCGCTGGACCTACGTTCTCCGAGGCGCGCGCGTGGTGTCTCCCTAGAAAGTCGGGCCGGCTGCTCCTTGGCGCTGCCAGCATTCGCAGAATCAGCCGGGTTTTTATTCTCTCTCCCCCCACCCCCATCTCTTATTTTTAGAAATTAGAACTCGAGCCCAAAGCATGTCTGTTTGTATTATGCACTTACACTGATTTTTTTTAAAACACGATTTGCTCTATTTAGGCAGGGTTACTAAGCAGTCACTTTTGCCACGTGAAGCGGAACCATCTAAACCTTTTTCCCCATCTGTCCCCCTGCCTTTGCCCCTGGGGTGATGGATAGGAAGTAGCTTTGCTATTTTCAGAGCAGTGGACCCTGGCCCGGGTTACTGATGTATAAAGTCTAGGAGTTTTGCCCTGGCCGGTGTGGCTCAGCGGAAGGAGCGTGGGCCTGGGGACGGAAGGGTCCCGGGTTCGATTCTGGTCTATGGCAGGTTCCTGGGTTGCAGGCTCAGTCCCCAGCTCTGGTTGTGCCTTGTGCAAAGGCAGCCAATTGGTGTCTCTCTCTCTCTCTCTCTCTCTCTCTCTCTCTCTCTGTGAAAATTAATGGGACAATAGCCTCAGGTGAGGATTAACAACAAAATCAAAGATAAATCAATAAACTCCAGAAGTTTTGAGAAACGATAGATCACAACCCAACTAAACCAAAAGTAATTTTTATAAAGAGAATGAACGTTTTTAGAAAACAAAATCCAGGTAAACAGGTGGATTTTATAGCTCCTCGTTTTTTAGCCATTAGAGAAAGCTTTAAATGCACGTTTTTTAGGTTTCTCTAAATCTTCTTTTCTCTCCCGCCCCCCCTTTTTTTAAAATTGATTTCAGAGAGCAAGGGAGAGGGAGAGAGAGATAGCAACATTAATGATGAGAGAATCATTGACGGGCTGCCTCCTGCACGCCCCACACTGGGATTTGAGCCCGCAAACCAGACACCAGGAATCGGACCGTGACCTCCTGATTCACAGGCTGATGCTCAACCACTGAGCCACGCTGGTTGGGCAAAATCTTCATTTCTTTCGTTGTGGGTCCCCTTGGTGAGCAGACGGAAACGTGGTTTCTGTTCCTGCTGGGGCTTCCCATGAGTGAAATGATCACATGATCACGTGACTAGAGATACAAGTGCATCTGTGATGAGGGCTTGGAAACAGGCTGTGAGGCTCTCGGGGAAACACTTGAAACCGGTGAGCACCCCACATTCTCTGCTGCATAACCATTGCCTTAGAAGGGTTCTCCAAACAGTGGCTGTTGACTTGGGGGCGGGAGGTGGAGGGGTTGGTGCTGGGCAGTCCCGTAGGAGCTGTCAAATCTTAGGGGCATTCTTGGTATCACCCAGGTGCAAAGAGGACTAGTTCATCACTTGGTCGTACGTAGATTTTGATGGAAATAAAGATCCTTGTGTCTGGCCAGTGTGCCTCAGTGGTTGAGCATTGAGCTAGGAACAGGAGGTCACGGTTCGATTCCCAGTCAGGGCACGTGCCCAGGTTGTGGGCTCGATCCCCAGTGTGGGTTGTGCAGGAGGCAGCCAATCCATGACTCTCTCTCATCACTGATGTTTCTCTCTCTCCCTTCCTCTGTGAAATCAATAAAAATATTTTGAAAAGGGAAAATTTTGAAACGAGGAGCTCCCGTGGACTGAGCTGCTTGGGCGAGCGGCTGTCCCCCTCCTCTGTCCCCCTCCAGTTCGCAGCTTGGGGCCCAGAGCAGGGCGCAGAGCGTCTTAGGTGAAGGTGTAAGTGGCGGTGGGACCAGGCCCAGGTTGAGGCTGAAATATAGAGACCCTGAGCCCTACACGGAGTGGCCCCCTTTCTCCATGAACTTGGAGCAAGTGTACGGGGACCCAGTGTTATTTTGTTTCTGAGGTATTCAGTGTCAGGAAGGTTTTCTGGTGCCCACACGTGCTCAGCCCACTGGGTAGCCCAGCCCTGCCCCTCTCTCATGCCCATCATCCCTGTACCCTCTTACCGTGTCCCCATGTGTCCTGCTGGTATGTTAAGACAGCCCTAACCACGGCAGGAGCTGTGCCACCTTTTATTTAAAGAAGGGAGCTATGTGGGTACGCCACATGGAATGACTGTGAACATAGAATTTGAGGAAATAAATCGGGTTACACACTAATTTTAAAAAATATTTTTAAACAGGTAATGAATACATATGGTATCTGATGAGGGAATCTGATGAAAACCCCTCATTAGGACATCTGGCTTCCTCGGAACTCATTCGATAGGATATATTAAAGCCAGTCTGGGCGTCGGCATTCATCGGGTTCAGAGGAAGTGAGGGGTCACCATCAGTTTGTAACTTATCTTCATAAGGGCAGTCCCAGAGGTTGCCACATGGCTGTCAAGTGCTGGAGATAAAGAGCACTTGTGTGTGTGTGTGTGTGTGTGTGTGTGTACGCGCCTGCCTGTTTCTTAATCGAGAGACCAAAGAAAGCTGAGTTGAAGAGAAGGAATTCCACTGTTAATGTGTTAATTTTTAGAAAAACGAATATAAAAAAAAAACCACCTTTTTCAAAAATTCAGCTACCCACTCGAATAACAGTATTTTCAACCTTTTGCAGCAGTTTCGGGAAATGCCCCCTGAACTGCCTGAGCAGAGCACTTAGATCTTAAGGCATTTGTACCAGGACCTTAAAAACAGGACCTGCTGTCTGACATGTTGCAGATGTGCGTGGAGACGTGTTCGCATGACTTCCATGCCCAGCCCCCGGCCCTGGGCGTCGGGACGTGCAGCTATCTCTCTCCAGCTGTGGCCCACACAGTGGCTCTCCAGGCTTTTCCCACTGATAACCTTTCATCTTATCACCGTGGCCTTCACTGCAGGGCTCACCGGGAGCCCTCATGGGCTGACGGGATAGGAGTCATCGGTCAGAGCCCTCGGCTGCACCTGGACGATAGGAGAGCCTGCGAGGCCTCTTGCCGTCCCAGTGAGCCAGGCAGTGAATGGGGGCCTAGAGTTGGGCCTTCCATGAGCCGAGGGCCCCTGGGGCTGCTGGGAGATTATAACGGGGCTGCCAGCCGGGAGGCCCTTGGTGTGATGGGCCGCTGTGTGCAGAGGCGGCTCTTCCCACACTTCCCAGGCCGGCTCCTAGCCTCACTGTGGAAGGTACATCCCCCCACCCGCCACCCCCTACATGTGCATTTGGGGCCTCTGGTGGGGGGCGGGGCGGGCGGTAGGCCTGGGAGGGTGCCTCTCAAATTCTCGATAAGGTCTTGTGTGTGTGGCTATAGATTAGGACCATTCTTGGAACCCGATGCCGCCAGGAGCTCTTGCTGAATCTGTAGTTAGATTTTATGAAGACAGACCAAGAAGTGACCAAAATAAACAGAGGCTGGGCCTATGGGTGCCGTGAGCGAGGAGAGGGCGGGCAGTGCTCAGAGCGGCCGTTCCCCGGGGCCCAGGCCGGGCAGAGGTGCTGGCCAGGACACTGAGGCTGCGCCCTGGCACGGGGTCCCCTCCAGGAAGCCAGGCGTGTCTGTCCGCCGGGGAAATGCCGTATTTCAAAGAGAACATGAACATTCGGTGCATGGCTTTAAGGGTAGAATACACACCAGATTTGGAAAGGACTTAGTATGAAGAAAAGTAAAATCTCGTTACTTTTTATCTTGATTCCATATTGATTCCTATTTTTGGATAATTTGGGCCAAATAAAATGTATTGCTAACATTAATTATACCCTTTTTTTAAAAAAAAAAATCTTTATTGTTGAAAGTATTCCAGATGCCTCCTTTCCCCACCATGGGCCCTGCCATAAAGGGAGCATACTCTTTTCAACATGAGGGGAACATGTTAAATGACACGGGTGGGCCCCCCGGACACGCCTGCAGGTCAGTGAGCGCTGGAGTCCAAGGCAGGCCTCCCTGCTGTCACTATGCGCAGGCGCACGCCCCCTGGCACATGCTCACGGTCGGGTCTTGCATCAGACTTGCCAGGCCTCAGTCTTCGTTCTGCCGAGTCCTCTCTGAACCTGACCGGTTTCCTACACCCCCTGCTTCCTGCTCGTCTCCCAGCCCCGCGTGTCTTCACTTCCTTCCCCGCCCAGCCGCATGCTTTATCCCCAAAAACTGATATTGAGAAAGGACAGGCCCCGTGTGTGGTGAATGCCCGTTACTGCCCTCCCACGCGGATGGCGAGTGCTGTTGACATTCTAGACGTCATCCAGGGCTTTACCTGCAGAATTTGGTCTAGAAACTAAGATACGGTTAGATACCAAGGAGGAGCGATGAGTAGTGAATGTAGGAGAAAATACCATCTGAGACGAATGCCCAGATCAAGAGACAGGAAGGAGGGGCCGGGGCAGGGGGGACGTGGTCAGGTCAGGGTGATGCGGACAGTTTTTATCAGGTGCAGGGCATGGTCAGTCCCTCCCTGCGGTCGCCCTACTTGTTCTGCCCTGGGACCCATGCGTTCTTCGTGTAGTCGGGTCAGGGAGCGGAAGGGACGACCTGTCCCAGCACCAGCCCCTCGCCCAAGGCCCCCGCGAGCTGAGAGCGGCCTCCCTGCGGTCGCCCTACTTGTTCTGCCCTGAGACCCACGCGTTCTTCGTGTAGTCGGGTCAGGGAGTGGAAGGGACGACGGTCCCAGCGCCGGCCCCTCGCCCAAGGCCCCCGCGAGCTGAGAGCAGCCCGTGTCTTCCAGCTGCCGTCGGGTTCCTAGCCGTGTCCAGTGTCATCACCATGTCAGCGCCCTTCTTCCTGGGGAGGATCATCGACGTCATTTACACCAACCCCACCGGGGACTACAGCAGCAGCCTGACCCGCCTCTGCCTGGCGCTCAGCGGCGTGTTCCTGTGCGGAGCTGCGGCCAACGCCATCCGTGTCTACCTCATGCAAACCTCAGGTCAGCGCCCTCTCCCCGGGGGCACGGCGGGGAGCCCCGTGGGTGTCGTGTGCTGATATTAAAAACCTTAATTCCATCAGGTGGCATCTTGGCGTAAGGAGGAGATTTTTTTTTAACATGTTTGTATTGATTTTAGAGCGAAAGGAAGGGAGAGGGAGAGACAGAGAGCGAAACTTCAATGTGAGAGAGGAACATTGATCAGCTGCCTCCTGCACACCCCCTACTGGGGATGTGCCTGCAACCAAGGTACATGCCCTTGACCGCAATCGAACTCGGGACCTTTCAGTCTGCAGGCCGACGCTCTATCCACTGAGCCAAACCGGCCAGGGCAATACAAATATGTTTTTTTAAAAAACAAACATTCAGTAGGGACACTGCCCGACGCTGGAGCCATGGATTGTGGTAGCTCAGTGCCCTCTCCTCAGCCCTCCTTTTACGTGACTTGGATTGAGCTGGGAGGGAGCAGCCGTCTGTTTTACGGGAGGTTTGAGAGCACGGCTGTCACGCGGGAGGCTGGAGCCGGGTGATGCCTGGACAGTGTGTCTGTGTCAGGCCAGGTGGCTCACGGGCCCGTGCCCACCACAGTCACAACAGCCCCCCAGACGCCCGGATCCACGTCGGTTGCTGGCCATTGAGTTAATAAAATAAATACTCGGTAGATAATTAACCAGTTGTTGCCGTTTGGAAGTTCAGTACAGAAAAGGTTGCCGAGGAAGGACACCATTAGCTCTCGAGCAGTCACGGTAGTAAAACGTCTCTGTAAATAAGTGGTAAGCATCTCAGCCACGTTATGTTTGCAGGATCCCTGTAGCCTCTCCTCCGCCTCCTGGCTGCAGGGACCAAGGGAGAATAATGCTCATTTCTGGCAGTTTCCTGCCCAGCTGCCAGGGTCCCGGGGAGTGTCCCAGGGACCCATAGGGCAGCAGCCGCGCCTCCGAGGCCGCAGGCGGAGAGGGATGACCTCGGCCCCTCACTGACCCGCCCCTTTCGCAGGGCAGCGCATCGTGAACCGGCTGCGAGCTTCCTTGTTCTCCTCCGTCCTGAGGCAGGAAGTGGCTTTCTTTGACAAGACCCGCACGGGCGAGCTGATCAACCGCCTCTCCTCGGACACGGCGCTCCTGGGCCGCTCGGTGACCGAAAACCTCTCGGACGGGCTCCGGGCCGGGGCCCAGGCCTCTGTCGGGATCGGCATGATGGTACGTCGGCCCCGCTGGTGTCAGCACCTTCTGGTCAGGGCTGGGCCTGCGCCAGGCCTCTCCTGTCCGGGCGGAGCTCGGGGTGAGCTGCTCTCTCCCCTCTGTAGCCACTGGCCAGAGCGCCGCCCACAGGCTGTGGGGACAGACGCTGCTGCTTCCCGCATGGCCTCACACCGCATGTCCCAGGACGCAGTCCTATTGGAGGCAGGCCTGCGCTTTAGGAAAGGTGGCCTTGTGGCCTGGGCTTTCTGAGGATGCTCGAAGGCAGCAGGGGCAAGACCTTCTGTTGCTGAGCAGTGGGAAGACAGGACGTCACACCCGCCACCACAGGCAGTGTCACCCCTGCCCGGGGGACCCCCTCCTCTCCTCCTCGCCTGGGAGGGAAGATCGATCCCCCTCCTTCCAGGGGCCTCTCGCCACTCCGACGCCTTTGTGTTGTCCTAAGTCCGTGGTCGGCAAACTGTGGCTTGCGAGCCACATGCGGCTCTTTAGCCCCTTGAGTGTGGCTCTTCCACAAAATACCACGTGCGGGCGCACGTACACTTTTTCTCAGCATTTTAGAAGAGCCTTGTTCTGATTATGCTATTTTCTGAGCAAATGAGATTTAGCAGATCTTAATTATTTGTTGAAGGGGTGCTAGTACCGTTTAAGATACGGTCCCCAAATTGCAGGGTTGACAGGAAACTCCACCAGGCCACTTCTGGAAGTCGGCTGTTTCTTCTCTGAGCAGGTCCCGCTGTCAGGAATCGCTCCTCATGCTGAGTTCAGGTCCACGTGCTTCCGTCCCTGAGCCAGGGAAACACTGTAACTCTCCTGCCCTTGTCGGTTATGTCTCCTGCCGAGTCCCTTCCGTCCTTGAAGGGGTGCTAGTACCGTTTAAGATACGGTCCCCAAATTGCAGGGTTGACAGGAAACCCCACCAGGCCACTTCTGGAAGTCGGCTGTTTCTTCTCTGAGCAGGTCCAGCTGTCAGGAGTCGCTCCTCATGCTGAGTTCAGATCCACGTGCACTGAGCCAGGGAAACGCTGTAACTCTCCTGCCCTTGTCAGTTATGTCTCCCGCCGAGTCCCTTCCGTCCGCCCGTCGCAGGACGCGGGTGTGTTCGGTCTCTTTGCCATCTTGGTCATTTCAGGGGCACCCGTGGCTCAGGTTGCTG